GTTACGGAATAGGATAATTACCATTTGTTAGATAACATATCTTTTGTGTATATTCTTTACTTGCACAGCAAGTCTCGTGTACCTATATATATATTTCCTACAAGTGAATAATACAACCAAGCTAAGAAGCTATTCTACTAAGATTTACAAGGATGTTGTCGAGGACTCATTGATTAGACATTTCTGTTACTGTGGAGAGATCACACACTTGGCTCTGACACAAGGCTGTGGACCCAATGCCAATACTCTGAAAAAGACGGCTTTGGTCTTCTTTGCCAGAGAAGAGGGAGTAGAGAGAGCGTTGGCACTTGATGGAAGCGATGCGGGAGGATGGAAGGTATCAGTTAGGGCTTTACCGGACCCTAGACTATTCACTATCCCTGCAGACTGCAGTCAAGGTTGGTTGGGCTCTACTGCCCCAGCTCCAGCTCCTTGTGTGAACATGACTGTGGAGTCTGCCGAGTAGAAGAAGGTCTCAGGAACCTCTTTGGTTGTTTCTAAATTGTGATACAATGCAGCAACCTTTTATTATCATTACTTGCTTGGGTTTTCCTTATGTTTATTATGTCTGGATGTTGTTTAAGTAATCTCAGTATGTATGACTCATTTGTCTGGATGTTAAACTAATTTCAACTATGTATTAGCATCTTAATGCTTGAATTGGCCTCGTTGCAATTCAAAGTCTGTTACAAGTATGCTCTATTCCAAAAGTCTGCTTCAACTTGGAAACAAACTTTCCAATAAAGTAAAGTCAAATATCTATTTAGTCATAAAATTTCATCTTTCTAAGTTGATTAAGGACTCAATCCGTTGGTAAACTTCTGATAATTATCTTATGCTCAACTTTAAGAAATTGCATCCCCACAAGTCAAAGTAAATTTGACACCTCAATTCTATATTTTTTTTTTCATGAATTACCATTTAAAGAGACTCTAAAACAATAATATAAAGCTTTGACATAGCTTCTCTGCTCTTTGGTTCTATACATTTCACTTTGCTTGAATCTATTTGTCCAAGTCAATGATTGCTCAATACAAAAAAGACAGTTACCAAAATTCAAACACAAAAGAGTAATTTTATATAACTGCTATTTATGA